TTGTTTAGGGTTGTACCAAAAAAAAAAAGACGACTACTTTGAGGGTATTTATGTATAGCTACTTCACAAAATTTACTTTCTTGGATAAAGAATTAAAAGTTATATTTAAGTGAAATACTTAGTGTGGAGATGAGGCCCAGGTCTTAGCCCCCTGGTGCATGAATTGATGCATCGTCTAAGCGAAGCAAATCACAACTTGTATTCTCTAGGGCATAAGTGCTCTCATGAGAGTCTTTAACAACAATGAATTCCCCCTTTTTAACATCGGTCTTTTTTTTCTGATCAAGCTTTTTTGTTTTCTTTCGTACATCATCACAGGGAAATTTTAACATCGGTCATAATGATGTCAAGCAAAGGAAGTATGAGCCCTTCATATCTAGGAAGCATTTTGCATCACACGGTGAACAGAAAATACTTTGATGTCAATTCTTGAATAAAATATACCATTTATGAAGTATTGTTCACAGATTACACCACAAGGTTGAGAACAGAAAAAGGGAAAAAAAAACAGGTGTGAGATGAAATGCTGTGCTTCCTTAACCAATTCCAACGTGTACAGAATACTCATGCATCACAGTTGTAGAACCGTGAAGAAAATAACTTATGTGTCAGTATATACCTCCAAAGCAGTATGGAATATCCTCGATGCTTTATCCAACTGAGCCTGATCGTCGTTTCCATCTGGCAAGCTTCTGAAATAGTGAGTTTTTTCAAGAGCATCAAAAAACTGCCCAAAGAGCTCATCTTTGGATATACCTGCAAAGAATGATAAACAACAAGAGTCGATTAGCATAAAGAAAGAGACTAGGGCAAACAGGAAAGAGGCAGTTCTACCAGCCACTGCCACAAACATATGTTGTGAGAGAAAAAAATATAGAAGGCAAAACAAGGTTTAAAACATATGGATGACGTATTTGGTTCAACAAAGAAAATGGCACAAGAAAATGCATCTAAAAAAGTAACAGTAACAGAACAAAAGACTACAGGAAAAGCAAGTGACACGCACTTGCTGTTCTTTGCAACCATGTCAGCAACCTACATGTATGCCATTTGAACAAAAGGCCCCACTTCCACATTCAAAAGAGAGGTTGGAAAATAGCTAGACTTGTGTAGCCTAGAAGAATGATTTTGTTACATCTAATAATCAATAAACTAAACCTCAATCCCAACAAGCAGAGAATACTCTATACGAATCTACTATACATATTCCGCTTTAGTCTACCTATTTCATTTCAATACTAAAAAAATTGTTTATATCGAAAATCAGGGATTCTCCAAACATAGCTAACCAGACATCTATCTGAACTAACTTCTCTGATTTTATTGAAGACATGGAATTAGTGGGCCTGGAGTTGTTAGGGGAAAAGATTACTTGGAAAAAAGGAGATAGACAAAATATTACTGCTTGGTTGGACAAATTCCTCGTATCAGAAGAATGGGATGCCAGATTCAGGAACATCAGACAGTCTATTTTACAAAGGATGACTTCTGACCACTCTCCACTAATGATTCAATGTGGGGATTGGGAGACAACCAGCGCTCCTACTTCAAGTTTGAAAACAGGTGGCTGCATACAGAAGGGTTCAATGAGAGGGTTGGGCTCTTTCAATTTCAGTGGTAGCCCTGATTATATTTTGGTGGCTAAACTGAAAGCTCTGAAAGCTAAATTGAAGTAGTGGAGTAAGACAAGTCAGGGAAATCTACGTATTCAGAAACAAATGGTTCTTTCCCAGCTTGCTAAACTGGAGGAAATACAGGAACATAGAGCTCTACAGGAATAAGAGACGGCTTCTAGAATGGCTCTTACTATGGAGTTCGAAGATATAGCCAGCGCTTAGCAAGGAAGAGATTGTCAGGAGACAAGATCCAGGGCAACCTGGCTATAACATGGGGAGAGAAACACGTTAGGGGGTGTTTGGATTAGCTTTTTTTGAGTAGCTTATAAGCTAAAAGCCATAAGTTGGGAGTAGCCAACTTTTGGCTTTTAGCTTATTTTTAGACATTTTAAGCCTAAAAGAAAGTGCTTAAAAACACTTTTTGTCTTTCCCAAACACCTTCAGTAAATGGAAAATTTATCCTTGACCTTATTTTCATGGTTCGCAATAATATACTGAATTACTGTGAAACTATGTGAAAAATAAAAGAGGCAACTAGATTTAAGGTATTACTTCCTATGTCCCATTTTATATGGCACACTGATCTTATTAGTTTGTCCCAAAGAAAATATAATATTTAGAAATAATTTAATTTTAAACTTTCCATTTACTGTTAATGAGATGAGATAATATATAGCAACACAAATGTCTATGATGTATTGAGGCCACAATTTTCAAAATGTCTTTCTTTCCTTCTTAAAAAAAATTCAGTCAGACATCGTCACATAAATTGAGACCGGAAGAGTAATAAACTCATTGCCAATAGAAATGACTACAGTTTTTATTGGCAAAAAGTTTAGAAAAGAGTGTTACTATAAACACAACAAATAATCATTAGGTATAAACAAATTGAAACTAGGCAAAATATAGATGCAAAAAGTACACGAACCAATTTAAACTTAAGAATTGGATGCAAACATGTACATTTTAAAAAAAAAAACAGTTAGTAGTTCTTTAAATTAGTTCTCTAGTTTCTTGTTCCTGATCACTAACAAGTTCATTAACAACGTTTTGTTAACAAAAGCTCTATTGCTTTGCCAACTATATTAATTGCCAAGTGTTGCCCTCTTAAAGACAGACCCATGGTGATGAAGTGTAGGTCTAAGTGGCTTGGTGCTTGCACAAAACAGCCATCTAAGCAAGGTGGTGTGTCTAAATTGGGCCTCACAAAACTTCAGAGTTTAAGTGTGCTTCAAGCGAGCATTTAATGACACTGAGTCTAGTGGTGAATCTAGGATTTGAAGGTTATGGGTGCTCACTTCCTTTAACATAGAGTTGCTTGCCAAGAAGGATTTCCTTCTAAAAGCTTACTAGTATTTTTATAGTTTAGTTAGTAAATGAAATACTAAAAATAGAGAAGTGGAAAAATAATAAATTGGAAAAAAAAGAGTAAGCAAATAGCAGTGAAAAAGGTATAAAAAGAAGAGTAAAATGTAAGAAAAAATTTCAGTTTGCCCTTTTTTTCAATAAAAAAAGACTTTGGTTGTTACTAGGATTTGAACCCTCACACTCACGGGTATCAACGCAAACTTTAACTTCAGCTTGAGAACCAAAGCACCCATCAACCGTTTTTGTTAATGGGTGCTCACGAATACATTATATGAAATTTTCAATATTTTCTATATACATATCCAAAATTTCCGTCGGGGTCAATGGGTGCTCGAGCACCCGATACCGTATACGTGGATCCGCCCCTGACACTGACGATGACAGCACAAACATATAAACAAGAAATATTTAAAGTAAGATGGTTAAATGTGGTATACTAGTCAAAATAAGAATCTGAGGACAATATACAGATCCCTTCAATGAGAAACCTATAATTAGGAGCTAAGTTGTACAGACTCTTCACTTGATGCTGCACCCATGTCGGATTCTCCAAAAATTCACTACTTTTGGAGAATCCGACACGCACACATTGACATTTCTGAAGAGTCCGAGCAACATAAATTTGGAGTTTAGCCTTACCAAAAGTGTGAGCTTCTTTTGTCCTATCTTCGGCCTGATAAAAGAAATAGAATGTGTTAAGAGTTAAATGCTGCACAAAAAATGTCGAAAGTAAAAAGCAACCACATACCAATAGTTCAATTAAATTGGTAGGACGAAAAGGAGATTAACGGTAGCTAATGTTTGACCTAAATAAATTACAAAAATGACTGGCAACAGATATTGTTACGGTAAGTCCTCTTTCGTGGCTGTACTATCAAGCACACAGTCCTCCAGATGTAAGCATTTGACAATCATTTCCATGCTAGATTGTACCAACCCCATCCTTAAAAAGAAAACTATTTCGAGCAAAGATTGTCTAGGGACAAAATTTCGCGTGAACTTTCATCAACAACAACATACCCAGTGACTTTTCATCCAGAATTTGAATTTATCCATAAAATTCTCTGGCATCAAGCACACAGTTTCTAACCAATAGAACTACTTTACATCATTGTTCAAACATATGACAGTAATGTAATGATAAATTTATAAAGTGCCTATTTTTTAGGCTGTATTTTGATGCTTAAGTACCATGGTCAAGCACAAGTATAAGAGTTGAGACACCCCGAACACGATATCCACAGAGGACAATCTTGTGGACCTCTTTATTTCAACAGAGAGATTTACTGATACGACTATTATTAGATGTAAAGGTGCATAGTAAACTTTACTACTTATTAGATGCCCTGGAATGTGACTTAACGATCATGGTCATGCCCCAAATATCTCAATTTTTCCCAACCATGAAGGAAAACTATTATTGTGTTAACAGTAATGAAAATAAGAGAAAATGTGGATGTAGACAACACAATAGATTTAACCTCACAGGTTTATAGCTGATAGGCCACCATATAGAAAAGAGAAAGCAAACATGCTGATATAAGGAATAGAAACTGGACCTAAAATACATGAAATAAGGGGAAACTATCCAAAAGAATCAAGCTGAGAAGATTAACAGATGAAATTAAGGAAATAAAACATCAAAAAGAAGGGGGTAGGAATAAGAGGAGGAACCAGCAAATGTGATCCATCTGCATCTATAGCTTCTACAACCTTTTGCCCTGAAGATGTACAAGGAGCATTTGACGAAGATACATCATGCCTAAGATCTACATTTATTTGGCTTTGGTCAACTGCTTCCCCTGAACTGAATATGTCCACTAATGAATCTGAACTTGAGGCATGAGATGAAGGATCAATCTTAAAAGCCTCTGATAGACATTGCTTAGCAACTTCAAGTCCTTCGTCATCAACTCCTGCAGCAGGTTCCACTATGAAACAAGAGAGACATTGTCAGTAAATGCAAAATTGATATACTAAGACTTGAGGAGACTTCCAAACTGACAGAACAAACACCAGAACAACAAACATGATTAAGAGAAACAAGAAAGCAACATGCGCCAAATAATATAATATTTAAATGCTTTATTAAGGCATTGAGGAATAGATTTAGTATTTCCCAATTCTGCTGCCCAGTCAAGCAGTCTAGTCTAACCTGCCAACTGAGTTTTGCTTCAATAAATGTATTTGGAATCCCTAAGGGCACGGCACACGTTAGTGCTCATCTAGTACTTCTGTATGGAACCCTCACCTATTAGAGCAAATAACTTGGTCTGGCATAAGAGTTCAAAGCCAAAACTGGTCTCTTGTTCCTAAAAGGCTAAAACTAAGTTGTACGATCTCTCACTCTTACATCCTGACTTCATTTATTCTTTCCAAAACATTTTTTTATGTATAGAGTAATCTGGTTATCTTTCATAATAATAAGAGAAATTGATCTGGCAGAACTGTCTGAATGTTCAAAACAGGGCTACATACAAGTCAAACAGAGCAGCTTGGTGAGTCGAACCCCCAACCTCAAACTTGGAGGCACAAGGTGCTTTCCACTTGAGCTACCTCTCGTCCCTTTTCATTAATCTCTTCACAATAAATACTTGTCAAAATCACGAGGATTTCATTGGAAAAGAAGAATTAGCAACAGATACTACTACATCAAAAAGAAGGAAATAAAATGTCCAACTTTACGTTACACAAGCTGGACTAAGGGTGGCAACGGAACCGGGAGGTTCCGGTTCCGGTTCCGGTCCGTTACCGGTTCCGTCTCGGTTCCGGATAGTGCCGGTTAATTCCGGACTTGTTCCGGTCCGGGAGGGGTAACGGGACGGAAACCGGGATTTTACCGGTCCGTCCCGGTCCGGTTAGTCCCGGTTCCGTCCCGGTCCGGTTCCGGTCCGGTTCGGAACTTTTTTTTTTTTTTTTTTTTTTAAATCTGAAAATTTAAAAAATAGCCGTTGAGAGCCGTTGGGCAACGGGTTTTGGGCCCCACCAACGGCTCTTTCACCCCATAACCCCCCATTACACCTCCCTACCCCCCAAACTTTTTTTAATACCCCAAACTTCTTAAAACTACATTTTCAACCTTTTTTTTAACTATAAATTCCCCTAATCTTTCATTCTTTTCACTCACAAAAAATATCTTATAATCTCTCTACTCTCTAGTCTCTACTCTCTAAATTCTCTTATTCTCGACTTCTCGTTAAAATTACGAATTTGAACTTTGGAAATTGGAGCTTCAAAATTCAACTTTCAATTTTCGCCTTCCGGTCATACACGTCTACTTTTTTAAGTAGACGTTTGGTACATTCGTTCCAACTCACTTTTCATTTAGTTATTTATTTGTTTACATTTAATTATTTATTTTGTGAGTAATTAATCTCTAGTCTCTACTTATTTAGTTGTTTATTTGTTTAAAACTTTGCTAATCATTTTCGTATTATATATAATTTGCTCACTTTTTATATTTTGAATATGGATTTTGGAAAAAACATTATTGAAAAGGGTAAAACAACCATAGTTAATTCGTTCACTAATTTATCTAGCTCAAAATCCAAGAAAAATAAAAAAACCGGTAGTACTTCTCAATCTAAAACTAAAAAAACTTCTCAATTAAGAATAAATACGGATGATTATACGCATGTTGATGAAACTGTTTTTAATATTGATAGAAATAGTGGATTAGATCCTTATCATGAACATTTACAAAGAAGATTTGGTAATTTTGAAGAGGAATTACCTGAAGATGATGAACATGATGTTAATGATTATGTTGATAGTTTTGATAATAATGTTGATGAATATGATGATGATGAAACTGAGCCACCGTCGGCTACTAGTCCCCCTCCCAATCCCTCTTCCCCGGCTCCCGCTCCCTTTCGTTGTCCTGCTCCCATTCCCCCCGTGCATCCTAGGACTAAGGTAGAACGCGCTAAAAAATCAGTTGTGTGGCAATTTATGACTCAGAATGAAGATAAAACACAAGCTATTTGTAATAAATGTAAACATAGAATGAATCATAAAACTGTAGGAAAACAGGGTGGGACGGGACATTTGAGTAATCATTTAATGTCATGTTGTAAAAATGAATTTTTGCATGCTAAAGCTGTAGCCGAAGCTAAAAAAAATGGTACCACCCTTCCTGAAAATGTAGGAGTAGATGGCTCTAATATGGTCCAAACACAATTAAATCCTTCTAATGTTTCTGGTTCTAGTATACAACGGTCATATAGTAGAGAAAAAGATCTTGAAGAATTAGCTAAAATGATTGTTGTTATGGGTTTGTCATTTAGTTTTGCTGAAAATCCCGATTTTATTCATTATATTCAAATTGTGTATAATCCACATTTTAAAGGTTTTACTAGAAATACAATTAAAAAGGCTATCTTTGATTATCAAGCTCAACATTTTCAATATCTTCGTTGTTTATTTTATTATAACAATTGTAAAATAGCTATTACTTCTGATATGGGCCATAGTGTAAATGGTAATGATTATTTCACAATTACTGCGCATTGGATTGATGAAAATTGGACTTTGCAAAAAAGAATTTTAGGTTATAAATGTTGTGAAATGCATAAAACCGGTAGTTATATAGCTCAAACAATTATAGATGTTTTGCAAAACTATGGAATTTGTGATAAAATAAGTAGTGTCACATTAGATAATGCTTCTAATAATAGTAATGCTGTTGAAATACTAAAACCGTCTCTTTGCCCTATTTATATTGATGGTTTTCATATTAGGTGTGCTGCACACATATATAATTTGATTGTTAGAGATGGTATAGCAATATATGACGATGGTTGCACAAAAGTTGAAACTGCATGTCATTTTATTTTTAAATGTCAAGTTAAGTCTAGACGTAGAGATTTTGAAAATCGTTGTCGTGAATTTAATCTTCCACCTAGAAAAATTCCAAAATCAGTGTGTACAAGATGGAATTCTTTATTTGAAATGCTTGAAGTTGCTTATGAATATAGAAAACCTTTACAAATGGTTTGGAATGCTCATAATTCAAATATGACATATAGACTTGATGATAATGATTGGAATGACATAAAAGAACTTATAGAATTCTTAAAAGTTTTTTATTTAACTACAAAAAAAATATCTGCACTTTATTATCCAACTATTTGCTCTGTTTTACCTAATATTTGTGCTATTTCTAATAAATTTTATAAATTTAAAAATAAACCAAGATTTGAACAATCTGTTAAGAAAATGATTGAAAAATTTTAAAAATATTTTATTCCTATTCCTCAAATTTATTTAACTGCTTGTTTGTTAAACCCACATTACAAAGATGAAGGTGCAGCACGAATGGTTGATAAAATATATTTTAATTTGGGTATTGATAGTGAAGATGATGAAACACCTAGTTGTCAAGATGTTAAAGATAGTATAAAATTTGAAGCTAGAAAATTGTACGACTTGTATAATAATTCTAATATAAGGAATGTAGTACATAACGAAGAGCCTCAAAGTTCTAGGAGTAGATATAATAATGAAGATGAAATTGATGATATGATAGATTGTATTATTGAACTTTCTCATAATGATAGAAATGATTTTGATGCATATATTAATCAAAATACAGAACCTACTACTATTGATCTTCTAGAATGGTGGAGCAATCGCGGCAAAGGATTTCCAAAACTACAACCGGTTGCTCGAGATGTGTTAGCTATTCAAGCATCTTCAGTAGCTTCGGAAGGCGCTTTTAGTGCAGCAAGATTTCAAATTGGAGAGCATAGATATTCATTAGCAGCAGATAGCTTGGAGATATCCGTACTATTTAGAGATTGGATTAATGGCGAGAGAAGGAGTTATGGTCGTCCACCTCTACCGACCAAATTTGAAAATGACGTTGATGAAATAATGCTAGATTTTAGTGATGACGGCATTGATGCAATGGAAGAACTAGCTAATCAACCAATTCCAGAGCATGTTACTAGAGAAATGTTAAATGATTTAAAAAAAGATTTCCTTGGTAGCATGAACTATTAAATTTAAATGTCTATTAGTATGAGTATAATAATTCGAGGTCTAATTCAAACAGAACCCTTCCTAGAAGGTGGCTGTGTAGATTAGATTTTTTAATACTCTACTAATATTTTGTAACTCAACTTGTACTATTTAATTAATATTAATAAAAGTATAGGCTATTCGCCTTAATTTTTTTTTATTATTGTCTTCAAAAGTTTAAATTTAACTTTTAATGTGTGAAATTTAAACTTTTATAGTTTTAAAGTTTTAAATTTTCAAATTTTTAAAGTGTGAAATTTAAACTTTTATAGTTTTAAAGTTTGAATTTAAATTTTCAAACTTTTAAAATTTAAACTTTAAAGTGTGAAATTTAAATTTTTATAATTTTATAGTTTTAAAGTTTATAATTCAAATTTAAAATTTCTAACTTTTAAAGTGTGAATTGTGAAATTTAAACTTTTTATAGTTTTAAAGTTTGAAATTTGAATTTAAATTTTCAAACTTTTAAAGGGTGAAATTTAAACTTTTATAGTTTTAAAGTTTGAATTTAAATTTTCAAAGTTTTAAATTGTGAAATTTAAACTTTTATACTTTTAAAAGTTTGAAAGTTTGTATTTAAAACTTTAAAAGTATAAATTTTTAAGTGTAATATTCCTAATTTTTTAATTTTAATAAAAAAATATAATTTATAACGGTTGGACCCGGTTTCCGGTCCGGTCCGGTCCAGTCCGTTACCGGTCCGGGACGGGTTCGGGTATTTTTTTCCGGAATTACCGGTTCCGGTCCGTCCCGGTTCCGGTTCGGTTCCGGCCCGTGGTGCCCGGTTCCGTTCCGGTTCCGGAACGTCCCGGTCCGGTAGTTCCGTTACCGGTTCCGTTGCCACCCTTAAGCTGGACTAACAGAAACATCTTTTTAACTCACATAAATGATCCCAGATGTTTGAGCTAAGTTGTTACTTGTTACTTTGTTCGAAATATTCCAATTTTCTTGACTCCAGTCTCCACCCTATAGCATAAGATTGGTTTGGTGATAAACTGGTTCC